CAAACATTTCTTTTTACCATGACCGTATGGGAATTAATATTAAAAAGTATATCTCGAGAAAATTATTTTAATGATTTATTCTTTAAGCGTGTATTCGACACGAAGATTCATCAATCTACAAGAAATCTTGCCACCCCGAAAGATATTTTAGTGATGTTACGTGACAGATGACTTTTCTGCGACAATCGTAACGGGTTGTTTTGACAATCTGAAGGCTATCGAACCTCACGGAGCAATGATAACAACTGGAAACCTTTTTCGGGTTTTGATAGATGATATTTCATCCCTTAATGTCATCTCTTTCAGTTCTATTTTTGGTTAGTTCGTTTCAAGTGAAGGACCTCTCCTCGTGGATTTTACTTCTTAATAAAGATTAATTATTGAGAACAAGCTGCGGGGGCGTATCTGACAAAACAATGGATTTTTTCGTGGTGCGTCGCCGACTGGAAATGTGGGAGTCTCTGTTGTTCATTGTGCGATGTCGTCGTCGTCGTCTTAAGGGGGACGACTTGGCATTTCGCGTGGAAAGGTCATTCCGGCAATGCAGCGGTAATAAAATAACTAACCCCGCACACTTGAATAGCTTCGAGTTCAAACGGGGTGAAGACCCGTGGTGCAGTAATCCGAGACGGGAATGTTTATGTCTGTTTAGTGCTCCTTCTACAATCGATATATCGCCCGGACCGATTGCCTTCACGCCCCCTTTGTACTTGGCATTTCAGTTGACTGTTCGAGCTGCCGACCAGGATTGCTTAATTACCCGACGAGATTAATTTAAAGGGGTTGAACAGCCCGTCTATATACAGCACTTTGTGACATTAGACCTCTGCTTTATTATAAATAAGATAAATAATGATCTTGGATCATTTCGAAATGAGAAAAGAAAATAAAACGATAAAAAGAGATTAAATTAAAATCTATAATGTTAATATCTCATTTTATGGGATTACCAGATTTTAGATCGATAAACCCACTCACGTTTTTATTCCATGTGGGATATCTTGTCAAAAATCCCAACTCAAACTTTAAAATCTTTTAATAATCGGGTCGCCCGGGTCGTTTAAAACCCGCTAAGATCCACGATTTAAATGTGATTGACACCTACACGATTTCAAAGGTTAATCTAATATCATGGTATTGAATTTTTTTATGCGCGATCCGAAAACCGACGCGTATTCGTCGTCTTCCCTCCTAATACGAAAATATTAAAAATCCGAATAGAAATCCCCTTAAACGGCACATTAAACCGCGGCCGGCTGACAGCTGAATAAGCTCGGGCCCCTTTTCGAAGCTTGCAATGCCTCGGGGCGGCGGACACAACAGTCAGAGCACGGGCCCTGTTAGCGGCGTTTTTAAATTCCGCTTCGGCTCTCTCGCTCGCCGTTCATTCATATTCAGGGCCGGGAGAGGCCGCCGACCAATTATATTAGTAGCCCATCGTTTGTTTGCCCTGCCTGTATTTGTATGCATGGAATAAATGATTGTCTGCGATATCACTTTACATACGCTAATTGACGCAGTGGTCAACATTTATTTCTGTTTTTTGGAATCAACCACACTTTAAAAAAATATTTAAAAAGCAACCATAACGCATCCTGCATAAATGTGGCGAATAAAGAAAATAATTAGAAGTGATGATGATTAGAAGTAGAGTACAAGTATTGTCCTGTACAAGAAGGGGAGCTAGATGAGCCTAATAACTGCCGATGCATATTGCTATTGAATACCACTATGAAAAGTTTCACAAAGCTTCTAGTTGATATGACCGAATAAATGCTCATACGAGAAGAACAAGAAGGGTTCCGGAAGAACCGGTCCACAACCGACGCCATTTTTCATGGACGATGAAATTGCCAAAAAAGCACTGGAATTCGATAAACAAGCATATATTTGTTTTGTGGATCTCGAATAGGCATTTGATAGAAAAGGGCTGAAACTCCTAATTTCAAAAAATATATACCAAAAACATCATAGAATCAGTCAAACTAATCACAGATACAAAGTCAAAACTATAAACACCGAACGGGGAAGGGCCACAAATCAACATCAAAGCCGGAATCCGCCAAGGTGACAACCTCAGTCCACAACTGTTTAACATGCTAATGGACAGTATTACAATTAAGGGCCTAAATAACGTAAATGGCGGAAGAATAATAATTAAGATTGATGCGACATTATCGCAGAATCGGAGGATGGACTACAACGGCTTCTAAACGCATTCAACGAAGCATTGACGAGGTAAACATGAAAATCGCGACCAATAAAACTAAAAGTATGGTCATCGCAAAATTGAGCACGTTTTGCAATTCGACTATCTCGAAATACAAATCAATACATATGGGGATCTAAAGGGTTGGGTCACAAAGTAAGCCATAAAGGCAACAAGAATATAAGGTGCGTTTTGCAACCCAATATGGAGGGATAAACAGCTATGAATCACAAGCAAGGTCAGAATATATTTATGCTTAAGATCCGTCGTTACGTATGCGGCGGAAGCGAGAGCCGAGAAATGCCTGGCAAAATGTACAAGAGATGATAACACATATACAAAAAGACCGATAGGAAGACCTTCGAAACAATGGAAAGACAGCTGAACCTCAGTGTCACAGGAAAAGTAGAACCAGGAATGACGAAACGTCATGGCAAGTCTTTCCATAAGAAGAAGAAGACGATTTATGCATGAAAAAAGTTTAAGACAGAAAGTGTTCCAATATTTTCCTTTAGTTTTCTTCTTTCAAATAGGAAGAAAATGAAGACATTTCCATACAGTTGAAGCTGTCGTTGTTACTTCCACGAGGAACTCTTAAACATTGCATTAACACATTGTATTTGACATCAACAAAGTTATTGCCTAGAAAGATGCCTAGGAGCAGATACTCAAAAGAACAACGAATCACTAAATTCGCTTATTTGGCATTTTGCCCCAAAACACGTGCATTCTGATGTAAATACTGTAGAAATTGCAACTTTTTGACAAATTCAATTTTTAACGAAGGTTTCTCACTCATGTTATCCAGTATGGGTACTTACAATTTGGAATCAACCCGCTTTTAGTCGAGATGAGAAACGCATGAATTCATCTGAGTAAGGTGTATCTTATGTTGCTAAGAACGCCAGAATTGCCGGAAGAGAAGAACTGGCGTCTCGGGAAGATTTCTCCAAAGAAAAAGAGTGAATACTCTATGGACCAGGCATAGCAGAATGATAGTAAATGCAATGATCTTGATGTTTTTAAACTTTAAACGTGATTTTCTCAAATCACCACTATACTGGGTGGTGATCCATATACATATTCAATATAGTATGGATTGGGTATCCAGCAAGGGCGGATATGAGAGATAAAGAAGTGTGCAACATTATCACTCGATGCACTTCCATGCTGAAACCATAACACTTGACACCCAGATCTACCTAAGAAATTATTCAATATTCGAACCAAACGGAACGTAGCACCATTAGAAACCCCCACCGTGGTAGTTTTTTGCCATGAGCTATCCCGAAAAGGAGAAGCTGCCGAAGAAGGTGCATACCGATGTTCTTAATCTTGCAATCAATACCAAAGCTCATCAACAATCTACCTTAATTCCTGTAGGAAAACAAGAAATACTTTACTTCTAGATTAGAAGACATTCCGTATTTCGCTGCTTTTGCTTTAAAAGTCTAGTATTTGATATCAAACAAATTATATTTTAGCACGCAAAAAATTTTGTAGAAAAAGACGTGAGATTGTTTGAAACGTGAAGCAACATCCCATTGTTTTACTTGTGCAAGAATTTATTTTGATATTGACGTGATTTTTTCCCACCAGAATTTCAGCGATTTTCTTAGATGCAAATCCACCAATAGTTAGTATCTGAAGCTGTCTGGAAAAATTGCTCTTGAATTAAGCGGCAAGATTTCTTTCCAAAATGAATTATTACTTCCTGAGATTATCGTTACCTTTTTTCTCTGGTATCCATATTGCTTGAGTGATTTGTAAAGAAATCTTGTTATCTAGCCATAATTTGCTAATAAACATGTGTTAATTTTTGCTGCATTTTCGTCCAAAATCGCTTTCATCAAAATTCCATTCTTCTATTTTGGTATGGGCGAAGTTATCAAAACTATGTACAAAAAAATTCTTGGAATGGAAGCTTTAACCTTTGGTAACTGAAGCTTATAGGGAAAATGATACGTTATTACATGCTTAAATTGAGTTGTTTCAAATCCTCATAAAATATGAAGCGATAAAGTTTCCTTGTTTCCATACAGTTGATGCAGAAATTGAAGTTTTCTTGGGAAACTCAAATAGGATCTCTTGATAAGATAGGAATTTATGCAAAATAATTATATCATTAAAAGTATGAATTCTTTAACAAAGTTTTTTTTGAAAATTTTAGATGATGAAATTCATTAATAAATTTATCCCATGGGATGTCTTGATGTAAATAAATTGATAAACTGTGTGTAATTAATTCATCTTATAAAAACTGTTAATTCGTTTAAAGAGAATTTATCAACATGAAAAAGTAAATGGCTTTACTTACATTAATCAATCTTTTATCATGTTTATAGTTAATATGTTCATTCTTTTATGCTTTGAAATACTTAGGTATCAATAAAACAGATTGTAAAACAATTTAGGTCAACTAGTCTTTATTGCATTCTACAAACCCCATGAAGTGTATTTATGATCAACCATTAACAACAAGGTGTGTTACATCTGGTATATAGGTAACAATTACGTCCCACTTGTCACTCCTTGAGAACGAAATGCATTTTTACCCTTGGGTTAGTTCCCTTATAAATTTTTCTTTCGCCGTCGTCGTCGACGGCGTTGTTGGGATATTAAAACAATGAACGTATGTCTACGTGGCTTCGTACAATGTAACAATAACGTCGGAGTGCACCTACTAACATCGTCGGGAATAGAGGAGAAGAGGTTTCATCTCGCGGAAAAGAGAAAGAGGCGCTTCTATAAATAACACGAGACGCGAGACAAGGGAGATTATAAGGCTTACCTCTTAATTTTTGTTCGTCGATCAGTTGTCGTTCGAGGTTGTCCTTTACCTCGCGTTCTCTGAGTACGTCCATCTTGAGTTCCGCTGCAACGAGAACAAAAAGAGACTGTTACAACGGGTATAATAATAGCGGAGAGGAGAGGGTTGTTGGTTTTGTTCTTATTCGTAGCGTCTCGATGTGTTTTCGAGGACGACGAGAATAAGAATCGGTAAAGAATTATAAGTACTACTTTTAGTACTTATATTGTATCGAAAGACTGGTTTTGATAAATTTCTAGAAATCTGTCTTTTCAGCCCACCAAAGACGATCTCTCGTTATTTCAATATCTACAATGTCGCGAAACATAATGTCCTTGGTGCAGGTTTTATTAAAGATAATTTTTATACGTCGAAAGCAATCCTTAAGTGGCCGAGACAAATTAAGCGTTTTAATGATAGTATTGCGTGGATGATGTGGCTGAGGTCGATTTTATTTTAATCTGAGCCACAAATAATTATTTTTGTATTACCCATTTCCCGAATACGGATAATGAAGGTAACCCAACAATGTAAGAGATTTTTATGAGACTTTTATTAAAACTAATTACGCGATGCGTACTGTTTATGTATACAATAAAATTTGCATATAACGCAATGATTAATGTCGTAGAATTCACTAATTAAAGGATTACCTTTAAAAAATAATTGCAATGAAACGCGCGGCTAATTCTCAGTGTTTACCTTATCCACCCTCGGGATAATTGAAAAAGAAACGCAATTAAAGTGGCGTAAAGGGAGCCCGCGACGTTTTTCTCTTTTTCCATTCACTTCGCCCTGTTTACAAACGCAAATGGCGCGGTATAATTGATGATCTTAAGCCGGCTCCATTCATTCTACAAGCCGCGCGCTCCCTGCAGCCGTCCTCACGAGAAAATAAATATTAAAAGAATGATAATCTGAATTTTCCCTTCCCGGCCGCTTTTTTTTATCGAATTAGCTCCGGAACAGCCGCCGCAACCCGCAGAAAGGAAATCTTTATCAACCAAACTCTCCCTCCCCAATGATTTATCGCCGTATTTTCTTCGCACCTTCACAATGAATCAATTTCTTTCCATTACTTGCCTTTTCATTCTGTTTACTTTGGTAAGGGAAATCGTAATTACATCGATATAAATCTAAACCTATCATATAACAATGAAGATACACAACATGAGTTTATTCTGTGTTAAGAAAAACCTTACTTTGATTTACTTTGACTTGATGTTAATTATAAAGAAAAAAGAAACGATTTATTGTTATTATTGCATAAGACAATTTAGAATCGTAAGTCTTGTATCGACGATTGCTGTTTGGCCTTTGGCTTATCGCATGGTACACAGCCGCACAGAGACTTGGATCGTGTGCGTCCGTTGATTTAAGATTTAGCACTCTCACGTATCGTGTGCGGCAACTTTACGGCCAAATAAATATAAACGGCGGAATGCGAGAATTGTGTACGCTTTTAAAGCTTGCTCAGGGCCCTAATCTACTTTACCGTCCCGTAGATAAGACTTTGCGCGAAAGATATAAGAAATAGAACGTAATAAAAAAAATTAACTAACAATTATTTTTCATTTTATCGTAATTGAATCGACTGGAAATCTGAAATACGATCTCTTCGTCTCAATTATTCGGTTTATTTGGGGTTAACGCGATGAAGTGTGAAATTCGAAAAGCGTAAACGGATTTGTGACACTTGTTGCGTTTCATCCGATTCCATTCACGTTTCTATATTTCTCGTTGTCTGGTTCGGAAATCGGGGACCGAAACTCCGATTGTTATGTAAATCGGACCAGATGGGCGATAAAGCGGCGTTTCACATTATCGGATCCCCATTTGGGGCGGCACGACGCGTCAACTGGAAAAATAAACGGCAGAAAGCGGACAAACAATACGCTAATTACGTTAAACAGAGATAACGCGGCCGACACGACTGACGGTCGTCGCGAATTGAAATATAAAAGTGTTTGAAGTTCTAGTTGTTGGGCACTCGACAAAACCGCGAGGCATCTGTCCGCCCCATTAACAATAATCCCCCCATACATTTATTCAGAGACACCATTTCGTTCGACAAATAAATCGCGTTATATGGTTTTTGGAACAGCTCGTGTGACCAGTCGATTGGAAAACGTAGATAAGTTCTCGTTGTTAACCAGGCTAAAATGTTATCTATACTCTCCGGATGCTTCAATTTGTTCTTGTTAAAGTGTTTGCAAACATAAAATCACAAAATCTTTTTTTCTTTTTAATTTATTTCAAACTCTCCTTTTTTGTTTTCATGATCCTTGGGAAATACAACAAGTTCTACAGCACTTCTCGCCCGATGGAGCCCAGGCGGTTACAGCAAATTACACTAAGGTTCCTATCTGAGTCATAAACTGAACCGTACCACGTTCGGCTCTTCCCTTAACTTGTATTTACAGCGTTTACATATTAACGCCGATAACCACCGCACGGCTTTGTACCGTTGTTTATTTCCACTCTTAATATCAATTTTCAGATGCGCCAAAGGAATTCAACTTCTCATCTACACCTACCTACTAGTAAAACCATAGAAGGTATAAAATTGTCGATTATATCGCGGACGGTTGGTTTTCATAAGTACTAAAGCGTAAAGTAATCCCGGTTTTGCGGTTTTGTACAGTTTAGAAACTAACCGCATTGTATTTGGCACGAGACCAACCGTTTTTATTTGTGTACATGATGATTCTAAAGGTTTACATTTAAACTTCTTAAATTCACTTGCATAAACGGTCACAGAAAACTTAATCAAACCATGACTTTACTGGACTCCTATTAACTCTGACATTTATACAAGTCATATATTATTACGATTACCTCGCGAGTTTTTTGTATACTCGCATAACTCAATATTCCTATTCCTTTTCTTTGCAGAACTTGTTCCAATTTTAGTCAACAAAACCAAATTATGTACAACGATTTATGAATATAATGTGTTATCTGCAACTTAGTTACAATATAATACTGATATCTACAACAAAGCAAATCATCTCACTTTGTGATGTATCATAGCGTTTGTCCTAAACAATTTAATGAAAAGTTGTTTGTGTATTGCAAAAATAAAGACAGTAATGGCAACGTAAAAAGTCTGGCTGTTGCTGTGTACGTTGACCTCCTAAACCTAAGCAGCATGAATGTTCATGTATTAATGTTTAATTACACCACAATTCATATTTCCTGAAAATAAGGTCACAATCTTGGAGACACAATCCAGTAAGAAAATTAAGGTGAATGATATAGATGATGATGAGACTTTTGGCAAACATAGTAATGAGGGTACTGCGTAGTATTCCAGCTGTTAATATGATGGCTCTAAGTATATCAAAATAACTAAATAATGTTTTTACTAGACCCAAAACAGATGCTTTTATATTTCATTTCATAATATTTTTCATATTTGGTACAGGTTGAGCAGATTCGATAGAAACACAAAATGGAATTCTTTTTTGGTCACTTTGTCAATTTAACCAACATTTGTAATCTAAGCAAAACATGATTATGTCTACTGTTTTGCATACATTGAATTCACGCCTTACTTATTAACTGGAGATAAGGTATTTTACTGTTTTAGAATGTCACCCCTTGATTGACTGTTTTAGAGTGTCACCCCGATTGTAAGAATAGGTGATCAAGTATCAGCCACGTCTAAGCCTGAATTTGAACCTCTGAGTAATGCAGAATTACAAGATATCGCTAACAAGTTATTTGAATCGTCAGACATAAAAGGTAGCGAGCTTCCTGATTTTGTGACGGATGATGGCTCGGAGGATAATTTCTAATCAGATGGAGATGAAGAAAAAGGTAATGTTTTATTACACGAAGAAGATAATATAAAAAATATGCCGCCACTTTGATCTGACACACCTAACCTCAAAAGCATTACATTTACTGCCGACCCGGGACTAAAAATAAATAATGGCACTGACCCATTCGATTTCCTTTCTTAGCTCGTAACAGACGAATTCTTTCAACATATCGTTGAACAAACGAATATATAACTTTGATTCTAAATCAGAAGAAACCAGTTACAGCATCTGAAATGAAGATACTTTTTTGAGCTATGGTTTCATATTCAAATAAATGGACTGCAAGAATACTGGAAGACGAGTGAATTATATTCGATTCACTGTTTTCGTAGATACCTACATGTCGCAGAACAAGTTTTTGCTCATTACGCCTGTACCTACGTTGCAAAAAATCCCGAATGCGCGCAGGATGTTGGATACACTGACCGCTTGCATAAAATACGATGCTTGCAAGATTATGTTCCTAGCAAACAATTATCACTGGATGAGTCGATGATGTTATATAGAGGAAGACTTATGTTTCGTCAGTATATAAAACGGAAAAAACATAAATATGGCATAAAGTTATACATTTTAGATGAGTCTAACGAAACTGTTTTGCGTTGTACTGTATACAGTTGACGTTCGGGACATATTTGGGAATAAGGTCATGCAGTAACATTATAATGCATTTGATGAGAGGGTTGGAAAATAAAAGGTACTCGTTGTTTATGGACAACTTTTAGAACAGCCTAAATTTGAGTCGGCAACTATTACAAAGTTACAGGAACGCTTCGCCAAAATAGATAAGTGTAAAATTACGTGGTGGAGAAATTACGAGTAAACATTGGAATGGGTGGCTGTTTCTTGTTGCTATTGAACAGTTACTTTTTATGTAGTAGAAGTACTCCGCGGATAATAAAATATTTCTTATTACGATTTTCGGATTTCGATTCTAAAGAATCTTCTAAGTGAAAAAATTCAAGTAGTCACACAACAACCTCTTCTACAAACACAACACACACCAATGAAGTTTCTGAAAAAAAATGATTTGCAATTCAGAAAAAGGTGCAGAGTATGTCACCAGAAAAGAAAATAGCCCATTACAGGACTTTGCTTGGAAGAATCACAATAAATAAAATGCACCGAAATCAGCTACTTTTGTCCATACCAGTTTACCTCATGTAAAATTACTTTTGTTTTGAGCTGCTTTTATTTATTACTTCAATCGATTCAGCCGTACCAAGATAATGGCACAAA